GGGAAAGGGGAAAAGGGGAAATGGGAAAGGGAAAAAGGGACAAGGGAAAAGGGGGAAAGGGGAAAAGGGAGGAGGGAAAAGGAGAAAAGGGAAAAGGAAAAGAAAGGGAGCAGGGAAGGAAGTGAAAAGAGAGGAGGAGGAGAAGGAGGTAAAGGAGGAAAAGGAAAAGAGAGGGAAGAGGAAAAGGAAAGAGGAAATGGGATGAGGAAGAGGAAAGGGAAGATGGATGGGAAAGAGGAAAAGGAGAAAAGAGGGAAGAGAGAAAAGGAAATGGGAAAGGAAGGGAAAGGGAAGACGAAAAGGAAGAGGAAACAGAAGGAGAAGGAAAAGGAGAAAGCAACAATGTTTTTGGGAGCAGCCCCCACTTCCCAGGCGGATTTCCTGGGCAGGCAGGGAGGGTGAGGAAGGTGAGGAGGAGCAGGAGAAGGGAATTTTGGGGACTGGGGTACCTGGCTGCGGGGCCGTGCCCGGGACGCTGCACTCGGAGTCCTGGCTGCTGTTCCCCAGCCGCAGCGTGACGAGGCCTCTGCTCCCACAGCTGCAAGGGACAGAGTTCGGAATTCCTGCAATTCCCGCAATTCCAGGAATTTCCACTTGCCTTCCTCCCTCTCCTCCTCCCGAGGTTTTGCCCCTCTCAGGGGAGCTTTGCGGGCTTTGAGTCCTTTAGGTTTTCCATGGATTTCCCTGCTTGGAATAATTTTTCCAGCACTTTAGGCGAGTTTAAGGTGGGCTTAAACTCTGCCTCAAGACTGAGAAATGCCAGGTTTTGCTCAATTAAAAACTCATCAATTAATCTCATGGTGATCCTCTTGGATTCAAGTTGAATTTTAATGGCAGTATTGAATATCTTCACTGATATTTCAATATTAATTGGTTCATTATTATTATTGTTATTATTATCATAATTATTATATGCTTCTTAATTTTATTCCTAATTTAAAATGGGGAAAACAAACCCAAATTTAAAAATTATTATTATTATTATTATTATTATTATTATTATTATTATTATTATTATTATTATTTTCAAATTAGGGGAATATCAATAAACCCATACTCAGGCTATTATTATTCTTAGTAGTAGTAGTAGTAGTATTATCATCATGTCTGTTTTCAAAGCAGGGAAGCACATTCCCAACAATAATTACTGATAATTGGTTATTGATTACTGATGAGTGATTATTGGTTATTGATGATCGGTTATTGGCTGCTCCGTACTCAGTCCAGCTGCGGCACCAGCCGCCCCTGCTGCTGGAGTAGGTGCCATTCTCGCAGGGTTTGCACTCAAAGTGGAAATTCACGGATCCTGCAGGAAAAGGGATGGGAATGGCTGAGATCCCAAATTCCGGGACAGCTGCTGGCAGCAGGGCCAGGGCCGCTCCCGTTCCCTGCCCCATTCCCGTTCCCTGCCCCATTCC